ATTACTAACGTTTTTGAAGCAGGGAGGTTATTTACGATCCCTTTACATACTTTGGACGTAATTCTTTATTTCGGGCCTAAAGTATACGCTGGATTTGATGTATATTTACTGAATAAATGTTTAAATGTGCGCGCATATATATATATGTATATATATATATATATATATATATATATATATATATATATATATATATATATATATATATATGTATATATATATATATATATATATATATATATATATATATATATATATATATATGTATATATATATATATATATATATATATATATATATATATATATATATATATATATATATATATATATATATATATATATATATGTATGAATGTATGTATGTATGTATGTATGTATGTATGTATGTATGTATGTATGTATGTATGTATGTATGTATGTATGTTTGTATGTATGCGTGCATGTATGTTATACACACACATACATATACTATAACTGCATAAACGAAATAGATAACTAGCTATACAACATTTACAGATTCATAATACAAACAGCTTAACATGGAGAGTGAATCTCGAAATCTGACTGAGCTTGAAGCGGTGAGTCTGCAGATTAACATGGCGATCTAACGGCAGATTTCATAACTGTACAGGTGAATGTATCCCAGAGCCTCTTTGAAACAATGCCTACGCTACTACTGCTGTCTCAAGCCCGATTTTACGGCGAGATAACGACGTCTCGCCTCCAGAGGTTAGTCGCAGGGGTAGAAGGGGAAGTCGCCGCCATGGTATAAGTGAACCGCGGTTGATTAGGAAGAGCGTCAAGGAAGGCACACGGGTGACATTGCCAAACAATCTCTCAATAAAAAAAGTGGGTGGGCCTATGTTGTGCAGTAGTGTTAGACTGTGAAATGATATGTATATAAATAAATAAATACACACACACACACACACACACATATATACATATATATATATATATATATATATATATATATATATATATATATATATATATATATATATATATATATATATATATATATATATATATATATGTGTATATATATCTTCTGGCTTTAGTCCCAGTTAATGGGGTCGCCGGTGCGGATCTTCCTCCTCCACAGCTTCCTATCTGCTGCATCATTTTCACTCAATCCTCTCTGCATTTTATCTTCTCTCACGAAATCCTCCCATCTTCTCTTTGGTCTGCCTATCTTTCTCCTTCCTACGTGCATACTTCTCACACGCTTCCCTACGTATCCTTTATCTCTTCGTACATGTCCCAGCCACCGTAATCTGCTTTCCTGTAGCTTTCCATTCAGTTCCCCAACACTTAGTCTCTTTCTTATTTCCTCGTTCCTGACTTTGTCCTTTCCTGTAAGACCTAATGACCACCTCAGCATTTTCATTTCTGCCACTTCCATCTTCTTTTCCTGCCCTTTCGTGACAGCTACTGCTTCCATGCCATATAACATTGCGGACCTTACCATGGTCTTGTAGTTTCCCTTTTACAGTGCTCGAAACTTTCCTGTCACACATTATTCCTGTGACCTTCTTCCAAGCTTGTTTTACTACCTCTCCTTGCATTTCTACAACCTCGTCTGTATCTTCATTTCCCGTTCTCAGTTTCAGGTATTCAGTTTTCTGTCTGCTCACTTCCATACCTCTCACTTCCATAGCCTCTCTCCACAGTTCCAACCTCTGTTCTACTTCTTCCTTCGTTACTGCACAAACCACCACATCATCAGCAAATAGCATGTCCCATGGAGCCTCTCTCTGTACTGGGGCAGTCAGGCAGTCAGTTATTACTGCAAACAGGAAGGAGCTAAGAGCCGAGCCCTGGTGAAGCCCCACTGTAACCTCGAATTCCTCAGTATCACCAACTGCACATCTTACACATGTCTTACTGCCCGTACACATGTCTTGCACTAATCTGATGTATATCTCCTGCACCTCTTTCATATATATATATATTATATATATATATATATAGATATATATATATATAGATATATATATATATATATATAATATATATATATATAGATATATATATATATAGATATATATATATATACTATATATATATATATATATATATATAGATATATATATATATATATATATTATATATATATATATATATATAGATATATATATATATACTATATATATATATATATATATAGATATATATATATATAGATATATATATATATATTATATATATATATATAGATATATATATATATACTATATATATATATATATAGATATATATATATATAGATATATATATATATATAGATATATATATATATAGATATATATATATATACTATATATATATATATATAGATATATATATATATAGATATATATATATATATATAGATATATATATATATATTATATATATATATATTATATATATATATATTATATATATATATATATATATACTATATATATATATATATATACTATATATATATATATATATAGATATATATATAT